CTAAAGAGATCTAGAGTATAAACTACTCTTTAGTGAGCTAATGGACTAAGAGGAGGAGCCATAGTGACAGACAAGCACAAAGTAAACAGCAGCACACTGCTCACCTGCTGCTGCTCTGGTGTTTGTCAAAGGTAAACAGACTCTCACGTCTCTAGTAAATCCTTAAAGACACTGGTGTTGTTTCATGTAAACAACGACTGGAGGAGGCGGAGCCACGACGACGGCACACGCTGTAGTTTTGATGTATATATCTTTATAAGCTTTGGCCGGGAGGCTTAGTGATGTCAGAGTCCTGAACTGACCTCCCCCCCCCCCTCTAGAGACAGAGGGTGAAACATGTCCTCTCACAGATCTGAATGTTTGGTTTTGTTACGCAGTCTTGTGACAGCAGAATGTCTCTGGAAACTGTGAACCTCAGATCAACGACACAGTTTAACCGTTTTTAAATCAGTCTGCATTTCATCCCATCGTCATGCAACAATAAGTTAAACCTCACCTCAGCGGTAACGTAAAGTATATGAACGTAACCTGTACTTAATACATCCTGGTTTGGTTGGTTACAAGCTGCTCTAACAGCAGTCAGAGAATGAGATTATTAATACATTTCTCCAGGATCCTGTTGATCTGAGACAGATAGCTGAAATAGAAAACGCGAGACACCGACAGAATGACAAGCATGTTCAGCTGTGGAGGAAAGAAGCGCTGCTCGGCCCGCAAAAATATATTTAGTTGCCAGACATTTGCTAATTCTAGAATAATCTGTGCCATCCCGGTTAGTCCCACGGGATATTTCTATCTGCAGCCTGGAGACGGGCTGCTGCATGGGAGAGACATGTGGAACTGGAGTCTGGGCCACTAGACCTGGACCTAGACCTGGTCCTGGACCTGGTCTACGTCAGCTCCTCAACTGTTGTTTCTCTGCTTCAACAATGTGCAGATTAAGATGTGTGGACTCTGCGTTACTTCTTATATTTAATGATGTGCAAAGATTCCCACAAAAAATGATGAACCGTAATTCGTATTCGTTATCCCGAGAAATACTTTAGTATGTTATCCACGCATTGATGAACCAGGAAGTATAAAGACAGCAAAATAAAACAACCCACAGGGCGAGACACGAGGTGGGCGACGTCCAACAACAGATCTTTCAGCCAGGAGGCCGTCGCCATCGTTGATTTATTCATCACGGGTTCTTCAGGAACGGAACTTCTGTCGTTATTTTAACCAAAAGCGACCATCTTTCCCTAAACCTAACTAGGTAGTTTACTGTGAAGACTGAAGTTTATTTTGAAAAGACTGTTTGCTATAACGAGCAGAAATTGACACGCGTTTCTGGACATTCGTAGGAAAACACGAGAAATGAGGAGTAACTTTTGCTAACATATCGTAGGATCCGTTGTATCACACGGGCGATAAACGCTGATAATAAATGATAAAGTATTTTATCGGTGAGCCGGCTGCTGAAGCGAAGGCTTGACTTCAGGACCTCTGGATGACGAGCAGTGCTTATGTGACCAGGAAACAAACGATGTCGACGATGGAGGCGATAACAGAAAACCCAGCATGTTCCAATGTGCAGCACAAACCACCACCTGCTGTTCACTCTCAGCTCCTGACGGACTCGGAGTCTCAGACGCTTGTTGGTCCACTAAACATTCCTCTGGGTGTCAAAAAAGAAATGTGGGAAAACAACTTTGGGAGGAATGTCATTTCTGTGGAGCCTCTCTCCGGTGCAGTGCTTCAGAGCAGCTGACAGACATGATGTGCTGAATCTTATGGAAACAGGTCTCCTAAATATATATACATATATTTAAATATAAGTAGACCCTGGTCTCTGTCTCCGGTCACATTTAGACGAAGTCTGCACGAGAGGGAAGGGCTCGTCTTTTAATATTAAATCAAGCTCTCAATTCTGTATCAGGAAGCTTCCTCACTAACGTTCAAAGTATTAAAGTCTAAAACATGTAATTATCATGTGACACGTTTAAAAACTCTTATTTCCGATGTTTGTCTGATCTTTTTGTTGTAATGTGTCGGTTGATTGTTTTTGTCTTTCCGGTCACTTCATTGTCTTTGTTTTGATTCTAGTTTTTCATTTTTTATTTGTATTCGAAAAACAACAAGCAGGTTCATGCAGAGGTTCATCCCACTGAATATACAACAACAACAACAACAACAACAACAACAACAACAACAACAACTGTATTTCAAAAGGAACACGAAAATAAATACTCACCTATTTCACATCAAAACTATTCATACCTGCAGAAATGTGAGAGGAGAGGAGAGGAGAGGGGAGAAAGGAAGAGGAGAGGAGAGAGGACAGGAGAGGAGAGGAGAGGAGAGAGAGGAGAGGAGAGGAGAGGGGAGGAGAGGGGAGGAGAGGAGAGGGGAGGAGAGAGAGGAGAGGAGAGGGGAGGAGAGGGGAGGAGAGGAGAGAGAGGACAGAAGAGAGAGAAGAGGAGAGGAGAGGAGAGAGAGGAGAGGAGAGAGGACAGAAGAGAGAGGAGAGGACAGAAGAGAGAGGAGAGGAGAGAGGAGAGGACAGAGGAGAGAGGAGAGGAGAGAGAGGAGAGGAGAGAAGAGAGAGGAGAGGAGAGAGGAGAGGAGAGAGAGGAGAGAGAGGAGAGGAGAGGGGAGGAGGAGGAGAGAGGACAGAAGAGAGAGGAGAGGACAGAAGAGAGAGGAGAGGAGAGAGGAGAGGACAGAGGAGAGAGGAGAGGAGAGAGGAGAGGAGAGGAGAGAGAGGAGAGGGGAGGAGGAGGAGAGAGGACAGAAGAGAGAGGAGAGGACAGAAGAGAGAGGAGAGGAGAGAGGAGAGGACAGAGGAGAGAGGAGAGGAGAGGAGAGAGAGGAGAGAAGAGAGAGGAGAGGAGAGGAGAGAGAGGTTTGGTTTTTAAAGTCCCTTTATTTCACTATTGCAGTGAAAAACAGAAACACTCTAAATCATCACTTAATAATCAGAAAATCAATAAATTAAAAACAAATAACCAAAAAATAAAGCACCAAAGAACAAATAAACAATCAATTTCAATGATCAATATGTTCAGAAGTTCACCACCAGCTCTCCACCAGCACCCACTGAGCATAAAATGCTCCCAGTAGTCCATCTGTCCCTGAAAGCCTGTAAATCGTCCACTGTCTGGTAGTAGGTGTGTTCCACCCTGAGTCGGGCTTTCAACAGTCCCTCCAGAACTTTCACCGGATCCTCACTACCGGCACCCCGAGCCCGATTCTTCCGTGTCAACCAGACGGCCAACTTGGCAGAACCAGATAAAAAGTTCACCATTTTGTGGACAGCCTTCTTTTTTGAGCAGTATTTTGGACCGAAGATGAACAACATAAAAGAAAAAACCTCTCCAAGACCCTGAAACCATCTTTTTAACCGTTCAAAGAGTGCTGAGAGCCGAGGACACTGAACAAACAAGTGTTCCAGGGTCTCAGTCTGACCACAGAAATAACACTCCTCCCCAATTTGTGGATCCAGGTGTGCCCGGTATCTGTTGGTGGCTATAGCTCCATGTACAACCCTCCACTGGAGGTCTGCTGTCCGTTTTTCAACGGGCAGCTTGTACATGCACCTCCAGCTGCCTCTCGGGGAAGAACCTGGGCCAAAGAACTCGTTCCACCTCGACTCTGTCAACCCTGCCAGAGAGCGGAGGTTCACAACCTTTACACAGATTTCATAGATAGCTTTTTTCTCTGCTGCCTGAAACTTGTCCAGGTGAGGGGTTGTGAACGTCAGCAGCTTCTTTCCTCCCCCCTGCCAGTCCCCCACCGCTGGGGCAATGAGCAGAGTGGGGAGGGTGTACTCACTCTCTTCATCCCATTGGTCAGACAGAGTACAGTTTCCTGCAACTGCTCTCAGGCGTTGTGGCAGGGCGGCACAGACCTCCTCCACTATTCTATTGGTCAACCTGACAGACGTGATGTTAGTGTTCTGCCTGAAGGTGACCATAGATGCTGCTGTTAATGACATCTTCACCAAATGTCCCAGTTTAGTGCAGCCGGCTTCTCTCAGACGAGTTCTCAGGCTGGCAGACTGCAGCGTTTGGGTTCTAATGAAGCTGTTGAAGAACAAAAGGTTCCTCCAGCAGCCACACGCCCAGAGTC